AGGATAATGCCCTTCACTCGCCCACCCACCCTTCAAATCACCGCAGTCCTAATCTTTGGGTGGGCGGGTGTGTGAGTGTGTGGTGTGGTGATTTTCTGAACCATTTTCCTTCTTTTAGTGATTTGAGAGAATTTCTAGGTCACAGCTTCATTTAAAAAGAAAAAGGATACACAGTGAATCATCAAACTTTTTTTTTAAACAGCATGCTCTCCTTTCCACAAGTCATGGTAAATGACTGCAGTAAATTTAGATTAGTTTAGATACACACATCAATGGTGCATCTAACAATATATCCGTATAACCATACAAACAACAACAGCATGAAGTGAAGCAAGGCAGGCGCTGAAGAACCAAATGTCACAAAATCAATGCAGAATTTAATGACTGAGCATCGATCATCAACACACATCATTAGTATTGATTAACAAACAGAATGTCAGTAAAATTAAATGTGTTGTATTTCTGTAATATTCTGTGATACTTCAAAATATTAGACATAAAACATACTTCTTCTAATCATGGCTAAATGTTATTATCAACTTTCTTCCACAATTTTGCTGTACGTGTGCAATTCTATTCTATTCTATTCTATTCTATTCTATTCTATTCTATTCTATTCTATTCTATTCAAATGAAAAACAAAACTTTTAAAATTGATTGTCTCTTTCTGGTTTTAAAGGAAATTGCAGCACAGAGCCTGTCAAAAACAAGGCAATTCAACTCATAAAACACTAGGGCAAGATATAAAAGAGACACAAGCTAATAAAGAAAGACCCGTATAAAGAAGAGTTATGAGAATTCAACTAAATTAGGAGATAAGAATAAGCCAGACGTGCCTCCAGGGGAGACATGGCTGAAGCAAATGAGAAGAAGCTTCAGTTCCTCCGTTTAGTCGCTAATCTGTCGTTTAGAATTCTTTGAACATCTCCTGTACAGGTGTACATTTGATCTCTTACAGCTCACTCCTGTGGTTTCTACAATACAAACGCATGGAAAAAATCTGTGATTGTCATGCAAATCAGTGCAGCAGTAGCACCTACTGATATATTCCAGAATTAAGCAACAAGGTTTAGAGTCAGGTAGGCTGTTGCTAAATGCAAACTGCCTCTGCCTGATCATCCTGAATAATGCTGGTCTGCATCGCAGCTCTGCTCATGTGCAGACAGTGAACACTCAACAGTGTAATACCACATCCTATTGAACTGTTATATTTGGGCTGCACCGCTTATTCCACGTCTGCTGCAACAGCAGCGAGCCATTAAGTATTTATAAGAGCTGGATGTCGTCAGCTCCACAGAGCTGAAACGCAGGCACACACGCTTCCAGCGAGCGTTTGCTGCCACTTGGTGTTAAAGGTGCAAATTACAGATAATTGTAAAGAGGTGGAAACTGCCTTACATGTTCTGTCTAATAGTCCTCTAGACATGAGTCTGTCTCTGTTTTTGTTTGTCTAAAATGGACACACAGTGTATGTTCAAATTCTGTTTTTCTTTCTGATTTTTTTGTTGTTGAAAAAAAGTTTGGAAAATGCTAATATTTGCGTAAGATTGTAAAGCATGGTCATTTCTTTTATTGTTAAACATTTTTTCCTTTTATTTTTAAGTACCACCCTTTTCTGCAAAATAAACAAGAGCTGCATTTTCCACTCTACAAGCCTTAGATAGCATGTTAAATGTTAACATTCATAGCAGTATCAATGGAATAAGAACGACCAAGTATGTCTTGTTTGGAAGTGTTGGCAGGAGAAAGTCTCTACTCTCTAAAAACTGCATGGCAGCATTGCTTAGGTTCGGAAAGATGCCCCTAAACCCTATTTGAAATTATTACTACCAAAGATGGTTGTACAAGCTACTGAGCAATGGAAATGTACTTAGTTTTTTTTACACATTGCCACACTAGGTTTTGGCTTAGTGTTTGTCAAATAAATAATGACAAGATGTAATATGTTATTCTTCACTGTTATTCATCTCAGTTTGGATTTAGATCATTTTAATTAATTACTTTTCTTTTCACTACAACTGTACTGTTGCAATGTTTGCATTAGTAATATCACTGAGTCAATCTTACAGTATTTTTCTTGAACATAACCCACACCTTAAAATGACATCAGGGAGTTCTGCTGGAAAGGTCAAGCTAGCCCATATTCAAGTAAACATTAGCTAAAATTTCATAATAAAAGCACACACACGCACACAGTTTTCATTTGGCATAGCTGCACAGAGGCAATGTTTTCAAATATCCCACGAATGAACCTTTTAAAAAGAACCAAAATAAACAGGAAAAAATGAAGAAGCCAAGTTGAGGTATTCTACAAATCAAATTGTGAAAAGGGCCTCAGTCAAAAAATAAAAGATGACTGACCAAACCAGTCCAGAAGACCCAACAGACAGACGTTACTGTTGTTAACTACAACTGGATTGAAAAAAACAAAACAAAAACAAATCTATGATGTGACTTTTTTTTACAAACTGGGGTGAAAATAAAAATTGGAATTTAGAAGAAACAAATAGCCACATTTAGTATCAGCTTATCATGGATTCATATTGCAGTCGTACAATATGCAATACCGGTATATACACTACATATTTGGGCAACATGAAACAACATGAAACTTCCGGATAAATCAAGTTAATAAAGCCTGGAGGTTTACCAGTTCATGTTGAGAGTAGTTTCAAGCATTTCCTATAATCTTATTGTTAATATTTTTTAAAGGCTGTCAGTAAAGACGAAAGAAACATAAAGAATAATAAATGGTCAGTTTCTTGAAGCAATCCCGAAAGAGTTAGATGTTGTATGAATTGTAATATTACCATTAATATTTATTCTAAAATAAGATTCTTTAATGCAATGTTAGCATTATGTTGGGTAGTCAATATGGACTTTTATTTTGAAAACAGGAAGTGAATGATCGTGAATTGGGTGGAAAGTGTTGTTTGCAGAAATTTAGCTAGGAGCTTAGCAGAGGAGGTGTCAGTCTCCAAAAAACAAAGAGGTTGTTTGTGGGAGCCGCAGGACCTTCGCTGTTGTCGTCAGGTCACGACCCGCTAAGATGGCAGAGCTGAGGCACCGTGGACCCAAAGACAGCGACCCTACGTTTCAGCAGCAGCCGTCAGAGGACAAGGTAACGTTAGCTTGGACTCAGTCCTGCCATTTAGCGGTCCTGACGCTAACTAGCCACCGAGCGATTTGAAATTCCCGTTACACTGTGACTGGTGTGACTAAGAAAGGTCATGTCAGAATGAATAATAAGGCATGTTTAAGTTTTACAAGGCTGTCGTCAATTTACTCTTACAACCGCATCTTACAACGTAAAAGCTGTTAAAAGCATCTGAAAGACGCTATACAAACCATCCGCCAAACTACTCAAATTTTAAACTTGATTGGCTGGTGGTACACACCGTCTTCCTGTGTGTTCGTCCGCTGCGAAAACAACAGCAAACCAAATGCAAAAGTTAAAATTTCATCGATTCTGGAGCTGCCCTTTTCACCTACGTTATGCCGATGTGTATAGCAGCTGGTCTTGTCCAACAAAAACCCTTTAAATACATTTGAAGACGCTTTTTCTTGAATGCTAAGCAGTCGACCAGAAAATCCAAAAATAACAAACTTAGATTTGTAAGGCGTGCTGCAAGCTAGCCACATACGCCGTTGCACACAGAGGTAAATAAGCGATGAAGGTCTCCATGTTGGCCCTTTATGAGCTAGCACCGATGCTAAATGTTCAGCACCAACGTTAAGCTTAACGTTTTATTTTGTTTGTGTATTTATTTATTTATTTTGTAAATTTTGGTTTGATATGACCGATAGCGATGATGTTCGCGAGCCCTGGTAGGCTAAAGTGTTTAGTAGCTGTAGTTACATTAACAACCACTACTTCGCGTCGTAGACTGATGGGTAGCACGATATTATAATTAATCTCTCTTAACAAACTGTTATTAAGCTGTTTCAGTCAGAGTGAGGGGAAATAAAAGCAACATTTATGAGTTCAACATGGACGATGCGTGGCATTGAATGAAGAAAGGGGCGTGGTGTTAGACGTGTGGATATCTAGGACGAGATAATTACAGAAAATTGGAGAGTAGCTGAAAGCAGTTGGAGAAAGTAGCGGAAGCATTAGTGACATCCTCACAGCGAGCCACACAGGCTAATGTAATTTTCCAGGGAAGCGCACTGTGACTGGTTTAACGTGTTCTTTATTATTTACTTTTTTGCCATGAGTTGTTTAAGAGCAGCCTACCTCATGACCTTGAGCTTGCAGTTGTGCAATCAGACGAATAATTTGTATTATTTTCGATAATAATAATAATAATGCTACAATTCTGATACAAAAGTATCCATTTTATGTCCACTTCTGCTGAAATAATAGAAACTGACAATGACAATACAGAATACCCAACCAGATTATTTGCAGTTAACTATTTATCAGTAGTTTGTCTGAGCAGAACCAGGGTTTATTTGAAAAAGTCTAGCCTGGTGGAGGCGCACATGTGGACAAACATTTGTAACTCTGTGTAATATCACGCAATTTACTAAAGAAAAAGTTGCTCTAAAGACAGTTATATTAGCTGATGAAATTACTTTTGTTGAGGTAGTTTTATGGTGGATTGCATAATGTGAAATATAGTGAAATTCAGTTCACAAGCGCATGAATGCTTCAGTCTTTGATTAGGTTACATAACCTCATGGTATAGCTGCAGTGTCTTGATGACGTCAGTAGAGTTAAACTGTTTGATCACAGTTGTCTTCTTTGGCTACTTTCCAGCATGGTGAAGCTAGATCACAAGCCTGCACTTTTGTATCTGCCTCCCCGTGAAGGAATCGCTTTCCTCTTGGCATGAAAACTGTAAGATCTGAATAAAAATGGCCTTTTATGGCTAACAGAAGCAGCTTTTTCTAATCAGTTAGAGATGAAAGAAAAAACAAACCCAGATGTGCAAGACAGCATAAAAGGGAAGAAGTGTTTATGTGAAAGGAGCGTCTATTTTTAACTCAAGCATCCTGAATGACGGATATTGTCTCCATAGAAACCAGGAAAAGGAGAATGGGCCTGTGTGTATGTGGATTCTTGTGTGTGCTTCTGCATTCGTCTCCTGGGTTTTGACTTCTGGGTGACAGTGCACACTAGTGACTGTTTCATATAATTTGAAGGGAACTTAATTAAATTTTCTAAGTCTTATAAAACATACAATGTTTTTTAATATATATTTGGCTGACTTGTAACAAACATGATGCAGCCAATCAGGGAATCACTATTTTGTTCACAACATTAACAGAAACATGCTCAACCTCTGGATTAAATCTCTCTTAAAAAGCTTGCAAACTTAACAGAGCAGCGTTTTGTTATTAGAACCTTTTCTACTTTAAGTTCTTGCTCACAGGAACTGTTTATCTTGAACCAAGGTTTTAGTGTTAATATGTTGGTTTGAATAACAGAAAAAGTAGGGTTACTTACCAAACTCAGATACAGAGACCACGCCTGGGGCGTGGGCAGATGGAGAATATCAAATTAGAGGAGCACTGGTGTGATATTAGTGTAAAAAGCTCAAATGAGTCGTTCTCGCTCTCTAACTTGTTCCTTATAAGTATTTATTGCATCTAATAACCTGTTACAAACAACTCCATTAATATTATTTGACTTCATTTGTCTCCTGGATGCTCCACTGCTACTGTAACTTGTGTATGAGGAGCAGTAAAATGAGGTGCACTTAGACTGAGATGAGGAAAGGAGAAACTGTTATGACTTTAAATATCACACAGTGCTGAAGTTAGACTAGAGAAGATAAATTCGCTGAATACATTTTTAATACTTTTTATTTTGGTCCTGTTTTCATTTATCATTTAACTGATCATTCAGATTTAGTCAATTTATATTCTAGGATATATTTATTTGCTGCATTTTCTTTTATAAAGTTACCAAATCCGTGTTTTGAGCCTGATATTGTTCATGTCTTGTCCTTACTGTTTTGGCAGACTTTACGCTAAGGTATCTATATCTTGTCTGTGTGGCTAAGTAAATGTAGAAGAAAGTGAAACTGAATTAAATAGAACATCTCACCAACATGTAACCAAACGTCTGATCATGCTAGTTCATATTGGACTGATATCAATATCAATATTTGAGCGATGCATGCCTAACAAGAAGTATTATTATGTATTAAAGCCGGAGCCCGACTAATATAACATTTGGTGATGTAAACGTCCAGTATACCAGCTGATTTTTTTTTTAAAGACACATTGTTATTTGTTTGTTTTTAATCGAATAACTATCCAGCTGTAGTATGGATTATTTGCCAAATTGTGAATGTGAGACCAAGTGGGTGTCACAAAACCACACGTCAGCCATCTGCTGGGTGAATCTGATGTGACAACTACAAGCCTTATTTGGTCACCAGCAGCAGAGAGGGCAGCAGGGGGTGAATGAGAAGTGAAAGAACAAACTGCCTTAAAAAACCCTCTCTATTATTGGCACAGGAGCTCTAACCATCCATATTTTTTCAGCATTGCCGCTATGGGGGGATAAAGATCAGTCAGTGTTGTAGGCAGGCCTTCAATAGCAAACAGATGGTTTTGACAAATCAACAATATGGATGGAGATGATTTGGAGCAGTGTTTAGCCTCCCACACATGACTGTACACTGACAGTCCATTAATCATAATATGTTCATCTCAGATGAAGCCGATGCTTTCCCCCCCCCCCCCTTTTTTCCACACACAGACACACCCTGAGCCAAATTTGATGTTCGCTCTCTAAACCACTTCTCAGAAAACATTGCTCTGTTGCTTTGTATTTCTCCTCTTGCACAATAACTCACAAACGGACATTTAGTATCCATACATCTCTCTCGGGAAAGAGAAGGGGATTACACTTCTGCGGTGTGTGTGCGCTACAGCGAGAAACAGTAACATCTGCAGCACAAAGTTTGTTGCAGAAGTTTGAGTGAGAAAAAGAAGATGTTTATAGTGGTAGCTACTGCAGACAAAAGAGAGTCTAATGGACCCAGAGCAGAAAGCTAGTTACCAGCCACGAGCCAAACTATTGTTTATATTATTCTATTTTATTCTATTGTATATAGTATTTTATTTTATTTTATTTTATTGCATTCCAGTGTTTTCTAATTTCTGCTACATAACTTTGCACTTTTGCTGTAACAAAACAAATTTCCCACCTGTGGGACTAATAAATCTCATCTTATCTCATAACATCTCATAACACTAAGCATTAGCCAGAGGTGTCTGTACTTCGGAGCTGGGGGATCTGGCGCTAAATCTGCCATTCTGACACTTATTTGAACACACAAAAAGTATGCTTTCGATACGGAGGGGAATATGTCTCAAAGTGTTGCAAATGTGTCACAAGCAATGATGTGTACATATTTGTTTCACACTGGGACTGGAACGCAGCTTACATTTGCGGATCTGTGTGAAGCTGACAGCTTTAAATTAGTCTCAAAACTCCATGTGGCCATGCGATGTCATCTGCGCGTATCAGGCGATTCGTCCACATGTATTTAAGGTTTTGCGAACGAGCGAGAGACACGATACATGTAGTTTTAGACACTTGATGCAATTTTACTTCATGCTCAGGGCTGGACGGTTGATTTCTGCCTGCGGCTTGATGAGAAAACAAGATGACAGCACACTGAAGTGGACTGAAGTCATAATTACATACAAATAGTTTTCATGATTATTTGAAAGTGGGACTCAAATAGACTACAAAATGATGTTTTATTTGAAAGTAAGCCTGCACATGTCAGAGCTGTTTTTTCCCTCTTGTCCTCGTTTGTTAAACAGATCTTAAAAAGTAAAACAGGTCTTATTATGAAGACTTCTTAATATTCTTGCATTAAGTATGTAATAGTATGTATTATCCTCTCCATATTCCATCCGTCCATTTGTTACACACCCACTATCACCACAGGCACACACACACACACACACACACACACACGCGCGGCTCTTTTTCCTCTAAAGCAGTAGCCTAGCGTCACTGTTTTTGTTTTTAAATTGTTTATTTTTGATAGTTTTATAATACATTGGTGCTGTGTGAAGATGGAAAATATTACAGATGCCAGCAGCCAACAAACATCTCACCTATTCAGTTTTTTTTTTTTTCTTTTACTGAAACTGTTGGAGAAGAACCGCTTCACTGTTATTTTGAAATTGTGTGGTGTTTTCACAACCACCTGAGTAACTGGCAGAACTGAAAACATCTGTGCAGGTTTACATGCTGTTAGTTCTAACCAGCCTGGGTTTCATGCAGTAATGGTAATAAAGTGTTTGTGGGGTGGGGAGTTTTTTAGAGTTGCATATGTTACCATTTTGGGTAAAGGTGGTGTTGGGTTTTTTATTTTTTGTTTGTGTCACATGTGTCACAAATGTGTCATATGAGTGTTGGGCAAAAAGTACCAAGAGATTACTTACCCAGGTATTTTATCACGTGACCACAGCACCTGCTCCTGTAAATATGTAAAAACTGACATGCATCATATTCCTGGATAGCTCAGAGAGAAAAGGTAAACACTCCTAAGTTCATCCGTGATCTATGATTAAACAACACATATCTAAATGTTCTGTTATGGTTATATTAGAATAGTTGTTTTCCTTCCCTTTCAGAGCCAAATCTTCCATTTCTTCTCTGTTTTTGTCTGTTTGCAGGGTTCGGACAATGAACTGAAGGCAGAAAAAGAGGGGGTGTCAGACAGTGAGTCCAAAGTGGACTCTGGTGTCCCAGAGGTGCCGGTCCCTCCTGACGACACCCCTGAGGTTTTAAATAAGGCGCTGTCTGGACTCTCTTCAAGGTATGCTGAGTATCAAAGGAAATATAAACTGCAAGCTGTTTGCAGTGTGTTTTAAAGCTATGACCGTAAAGATGCGTCCTCTTCCTAGGGCCGAAACACGCTCGGTCTTGTTTATTGATATCGAACACCCCCATTGTCTGTGTACTGTGAGTTGCTATGCGCTCATTTTAAACCCACCCACCTAAACAAGAGCCCCGTGTTTTTTCTGGACTGCATGTAAGGCTACGTCCACACGTACACGGGTATTTTTGAAAATGGAGATTTTCTGTTTTTGTTTTTGTTTTTTTGTTTTTTTTAAAATCCCGTCCACACATAATCGCAAAAATGAAGGAAAACGCTGCTAGGAACATGCCAAAGCAACAGGTGGCGATATATTTCTAACCGTGTAGAAATGTTGGCCAATCAGAAGCCTAGAAGCCTGGGTGGGAAAGAGTAAACAAAGATGGCGCATAGAAGCAGAAAGGAGTCCTGTGTGGAGGGGCAGTAACTGTGTGTATATGTAAGCATTTAAACACTGCAGAGAGTAAAGTTAACAGTATTGTCTAAGTCCGCCATTGTAGAAATCCATTTCACAGAAACAATAACGTTTGTGACGTCAAAAAAGGCGCACACCTTTGACGCTGCGTTTTCTCCGTTTTCCTTGTCCACACGTAAATGCAACAACGGAGTTTTTGAAAATCTCCGTTTTCAGTGACCGGAAACGCCGTTTACGTGTGGACGAAAGATGCAAACGCATAGAAAAATCTGCGTTTTCAAAAATACCCGGGCACGTGTGGACGTAGCCCAAGCCGCGTTGCCACTGTGGAGGTGTCATGATTCATACAAAGGAATTCCTCGTCACATATTTGAATGATCTTGGCCTTTTTGATAACATAATATAAGTAAAAGTTTTGGCCCAGGCTCTTTCAGTTGTGCTTACGTTTAAAATACAACTCGCTTGTTGCTTTTTTAATTTATTTATTTTTTTGTATTGTCATTTTGCCAGTGTCATTGTTTATGTCTTTTCTTCAGATGGAAGAACTGGTGGGTACGAGGCATCCTAACACTAGCCATGATCTCCTTCTTCTTCTTCATCATCTACTTGGGCCCCATGGTGCTTATGATGATTGTGAGTACAAACTACTGATCTGTCCTGGATGACTTGACTTGATTTGTCATTCCACTTTCAGAGCCATCGTTTGTGACATGAGACAAATTAAGCTTTTTGATACAAAATTATTTCAGTTAAGATGAATCGTGTTACGAATCAGACTTTTTCTCACTGAGTATATATAGAAGACGTGTTAATGTTCAGAGCTACTCTAAGCAGCGCAGTCAGCTTATTTTTTTTAAAGCAAATTAAAATCATAGTATTGTGGATTAAAGAGGATCCAGTCTCTCTAATCATTTGCAGGATAGCTGCCTCCGTCATCAGGGAATACCCTGAAAATAGGCCTGTCAGCCATTTTGTGTCAGTAGGACACCATACTGTGTCACACACACAGAAACACACACTGAGTTGTGCTCAGGGGTTTTCCTGCACAGAGGAGTATTTGGTGCCCTACAAAGAGGTTTAACAGAGCCAATGGAGAATCAGCAGTGTTGTAATAATGATCTTTATTAACTAGTTTTGTTTATTGTGGTCTTATTTACACAAGTGTGATCCACAGTTTTGCTCATCAATACATTCAGACTATTGGACTGTGGAATATTCATCCATTTCTGTCAGATAAAGTAACCGGTATCTTCTACTGTACTTTGACTGATCTTGCCATGTTTGCTGCCCACCCCAAAAGCCTGTTCTGGTTTGTCCTATCAATATTTTTCCTTTGTGCTGCTGACACAGTGTTTTATCTACGCAGGTCCTCTGTGTCCAGATAAAATGCTTCCAGGAAATCATCACCATTGGTTACAGTGTGTACCACTCCTACGACCTGCCGTGGTTCAGGACATTGAGCTGGTGAGGACACAGACACACACACAGACACACACAGTGTTCACTTGGCAAGACAAAGGATCGGATATTAAAAGCAAATGTCCACGTTGGCTTCTTTCTTATTGTTTGTCTCATGTTTTTACTTTGTTACAGATGTCCTGAGGTTTGTTATCAACCCATTTTAAATTAGCAGTATCTTAAAGATTATATATTATAGCAGAATTACAATGAATCATCGGTGCTGTTTGATTTGTAGCAGTAGTGGTTTATAGTGTAGTGTAATCCTGATATTCACTATGCCAGGAAACTCAAAAACCCCGGAAAACACTGCTCCACATACACAGGTAAAAACTTAGAGATATCCACAGTTCACAAAAAGAAAAGAGACACACCCGTGGAGATATATGTATATATATGTTTCCCCCCGCTGGCATATTGAATTCAGAGTCTGATTAGCTGCTGTGACAACACCATCAGCTGCATACATTTACTCGAACCCTTTGAATTACAGGTACTTCCTGCTGTGTGTGAACTACTTCTTCTATGGTGAGACCGTGACAGATTATTTCTTCACACTGGTTCAGAGGGAGGAGCCGCTTCGTATCCTCAGCAAATACCACCGCTTCATCTCCTTCGCGCTCTACCTCACAGGTAGAAAGACATAAAGTCCTGCTGTAGATTCTGTGTTGACGTCATCATGCCAGCTGCCCACAACAAACATTCTTCCAAGTTATTCAGTAATGACTTATAATAAATGTTTATTACACTAAAACAAACTGCTGAACATGAGATAAGTGCACAATAAATAAACAGACATTAGATGCAGTTTACATTGTCATAGCAACCAGAAGTGTCAAATTTCTTTTAAGAGACGTCAGTGATTGGTCAGTCTGACTCAACAAAATACATTTACAATCAGTAATATTTCCATGAGTCATTCAACTGTTCAAAGTTTTATTGTTGTATGCACAGTAAAGAAAAATGTTTCCCTGTACAATGAAATTGTTCCTTTACTATCACCAACAGATGCCGAACAGAAAAATCCACATATATAAATAGAATAAATGCTCATTTTAAAAATAGAATAAAAACAGTTATGAATACTGCATTTGATAAATACATTAGAGATGAAAGAGGAATCTGAGTTGCAATAAGCTGTGTACATATTTAGAGTGTGTGTGTGTGTGTGTGTGTGTGTGTGTAATTCTATGTTAGATATCTCTCAAGGTTGTTTCTTCAAATTTGGTATTTTTGGTTATAACCAATGAATTTATATATTAATACATATCATATTACTCAGTTATGTTATTTGAGTTTCAAGTGATGTAAACTAGGACTTGACTGATTGGTGGAAGCACACAGGCATGCTTTGATGGAAAAATGAGTCTCAGGGTTTTATATGTTAGTTAGTTCAAAGCTTATTGTTTCAGTTACTATGCTAACTTTAGATGTTCCACTTCCTGTGCTTCTGTGTCAGTTAGTAATACATTACTACTATAGCTTCTTGCTGATGCCAAACAGGATGTGGGGAGGAAGGAAGCACCCAGACTGTCTTACCTACTACATTTAAGGTGCAATTGAATGGCCCGTTATGACTTTGAGAACAAATGCTCTGAAGCTCGTGATTTGAAGTGACATTTAATGCAGAGTTTTGTCATCCTGTACATCTTAATGTCTTACTTGAAGAAGCTTTACTGTCAGTCTGAAGAGTCCAGGAAACCAACAGCGTCAGTATGTCTGAGTCAACTTCCGTTCAGGCCACATTTTCTCAGATATTCTTTGCTTTACAACATCCTCTCGTTTCCTCGGTCATGTAAAAAAAGAAAACTATTCACTGCATCCTAAAGTAGGCATGCTGTGAAATAAGTCAAGCTAAATTGAATCAGTTTGACCAAAGATGACCTTAAGGAGGTTTCCTCCTCTTTACAGATGCTGTTGGTCTGTGTGTCTTAATAAGTCGTCCTGTTGTTGCAGGTTTCTGTATGTTTGTGCTGAGTTTGGTGAAGAAACATTACCGCCTTCAGTTTTACATGGTAAGTGCTGCCCTGCATACTCCGTGCATCCTGCCTCAAGGCTACTGGCTTATTCATGAGGCTAGCTAAAATATAAACCCTCAAGTAAAAGGGAAATGGGGTCAGAGACGGATCCTGCAGAAAAAACCCCCCACTAGTACATTCCTCTTTGATTTGGCCGTACCTGATGTGCCTGCTATTTCTGTCAGATTTGTTTTACTGTTGGCAGGTTATGAAAGTGTTGTTTCCTGTGCATTGAGAGCAACTTTGACCTCCATTTTGTGGAGGCCAAATCCAACATGTAGAATCATCTCCAGACCTGCTTAATCTAAGATAATGAAAGAATAGCTGTAGTTACAGTTGAATCATTAAAAATATGGAATTATGTTTAAAAAAAAAAAGACTTCCTCAACAGTTAGTGCAACATATATCTTGAATACGTCTTTGTCACAGTTCAATTCAGTTCAGTTTTACCACAACAACAGTCTCCTCAAGGCGCTCTGTATTGTAAGGTAGACCCTCCAATAATACATACAGAGAAAAATCCAACAGTCTTTTTTGGCAGTGGGAAGGAAAAACTCCCTTTTAACAGGAAGAACCAGGCTCAGGGAGGGGCAGCCATAGTTGAAATAATGTTGTCGATGTACCAAAGTAAGAGGATCCAGCTGTGTGTTTACAGCTGTGTGTTTACAGTAGGGCAGGTTTATGTTGAAACACTAGTGGTCTTAAGAAAAACACCCGAATGGAAACACAGTAACAGTTTTTTTTGGTAACACAAAAGCTTGTAAAAACCATCTAAACCATGACCAGCAGGCACTAATACAATACAATACAATACAATACAACTGTATTTATATAGCACATTTAAAACAAAGGTAAACCAAAGTGCTTCACAACAAGGTTAAAACATAACAAATATTTGTACCCTGTTATGCTCTTATAGACTAACAAGTGAGAAACGCTAGTTAAACAATCAATACAGATAAAACTCTTCAGCGTGACACTGATTATAAACAAAATTTACAGAGCCTGTGTCATTGTCCAAAAATGTATGAATTTAACTACACGTCATTGATCTTGTGCCCGTCTGCACAGTTTGGTTGGACCCATGTGACTCTCCTGATTGTTGTGACCCAGTCTCACCTCATCATTCACAACCTGTTTGAGGGAATGATCTGGTAAGTTAAAGGCTCCTTATCCAATTCTCTAAGTCTAATTAAAATTCAGTTATTTTGCACCTTAATGCAAATATCCATACACCTGCCATGTAAACTGTTCTTTGTGTGATCAGGTTCATTGTGCCCATTTCTTGTGTGATCTGTAATGACATCATGGCCTACATGTTTGGTTTCTTCTTTGGGCGAACCCCTCTTATCAAGGTTGGTTATTTTGAACGTTTGAAGCTGCTTTAACCTGGAATGCAAATACATAAATGTTTAATTCTTTTAATATAATGTTTATTGTGAATTATTGCTGCATGTAGCAAATCACCTAAAGGCTGTTGTGCTCTGTATGGTGGTGTATGATTTCTTTGATACTGGCTGTTGCAGCTGTCGCCTAAGAAGACTTGGGAGGGCTTCATCGGTGGATTGTTCTCCACCATTGTTTTTGGAATCATGGTAGGATGTGAATTTTGTTTATTTATTTATTTTTTCCTTTTAGCTCTTAGCGATGTAGCATTCTGTAGGAGCTGCTTGCTTATCTCACAATGAATTATGGTTAAAAAGAGTAAAATCAGCTGTGTAGGGCAGAAAAACTCACTCTCCTCATGTCATATACCAGCCACACCTTCCTGATTCAGATGCCTGTTTAAGCTGCATCTTCTCAGCTCTCACTCTAACATCATTGCGGCTGCTTCCTTGTGTGGGTGTCTGCTGTTCTAACCCTGCCACCACCTCATCGTTTACCTGTAGGTCTCGAGGGGATCATTGTTCATCACTTCAGTTTCTGTATGTGTCATATTGCCGGGGCGTAATGAGCTCTGAAGCAAATCATTTCAAACACAGTGTGTTTGTCTCAACTTAGTTAAACATGCACTCATCACAAATGTTTGTGGCTGAGACTCACATTGAGGCTGATTGCTCTGAGCTCAGGATATCTTTAGCTTCTTTAAAATGCCCATGTTCAGCTGGGTGAGGGTGTATTAAGTGTAGTTTTATACTGGGTTTGCTGTAGCTGTTGTTGTCTCCAGTCACAGCGACTAGTTTCCACACTAATGACACATTAATGCGTTACTGGTGCCGGCACTGTGCACATGCATGCACAAACTCCTTTGTAATTGGTCATGTGGGAAGGCTGACTGGCTGGGCCGAGAACACAGGAAAGCAGTCAGTTCTGATCTCTGTCCAGTTAGTTGGTGACAAGTGACACGATCGAAGCATAACTTTGCTCTCTTCACAGCTCTCCTACGTCATGGCTGGCTATCGCTACTTTGTGTGTCCGGTGGAGTTCAACAACGACTCCAACAGCTTCCAGGTGGATTGTGAGCCATCAGAGCTGTTTCAGCTCCAGGACTACTTCCTCCCCAGTATGCTGGAGTCTGTCACTGGATGGGTAAGATTCAGTGGCTATTTGTTGCGGTTCATCTTGTGCCAGAATTTAGGCTTCTTACAGTCCTCTCACCAACACATTAAAAGTATGCAGAGCTTGTAGAGTTTTATTGAACAGCGCTAAAGGAAACCTTACAGCCTGTTACAGCTTGAGACAGTATACAAAGTTTTATACCCACCTAGAGCAAACATAAGGCAATATCTTGTTGTGAGTTTCAACAAGATTGGATGTAACGTGTCCTATGTTTCCACAGACCACAGTGCGCCTGTATCCATTCCAGATCCACAGCATTGCTCTCTCCTCCTTTGCCTCCATCGTGGGACCCTTTGGTGGCTTCTTTGCTAGCGGCTTCAAGAGAGCTTTCAAAATCAAGGTATGGATGTGGACCAACAGAAACTATTCACCACACATAAGGTGGATGTGGCCTATGATTATCAGGCAGTGTTTGTGTTTCTTAAGCCATTGTGACACTTCGTTCTGGGCCATTTTTGGAAAAGAGAGAAGAACCTACCACAGAGTAGGCTCTGAAAGAGATACAGAGCGTATAAGCAAGGCTTTTAAAAACACACACAGAATGTCATGTCTGTTGTAGTTTTAAGCTTGTATGTCATCTTTCAGGATTTTGCAAACACCATCCCAGGTCACGGAGGCATTATGGACAGATTTGACTGCCAGTACCTCATGGCCACATTTGTTAATGTCTACATTGCTAGCTTCATTAGGTAAGCATATATTTATGAAGTTTAAAATATAATATAATGTATTTCATTTTGCTTGTTGTCAGTCTTTGTCCTTTATATGCTCTTTATGTTGCTTAAGCAGCGTTAAAGCTTGTAATAAAACCTAATAATAGTTCAGTGTAAGCTAATGTTCACTGTCTGCACAGACTGAAGGGATCGTTTCTGTGAAGTGAGGTTGAATAAGGAACATCCAGGAGAAATTGCAAATCTTGATTTGTCAGTTTCAACTTTTGTGGATACGGTGAACCTTGCAGACATGGACCACAGCCTTACATTTAATAGCCTATTGGGCTAATAAGTAGACCAGGAACAGAAGATCAGGAGAAATGATGAATTTATCTGTGGTATGAGGAGAATCAGTGGACTGCTAACATTAGTTAAGGTCTGCTTATTTAGCAGTACTGTACAGTTAGCTCTCTATGTTTAACAGCAAACAATAACTTGCTACTCTTAGCTTCTAAAAATACAAGACAAACGCATTCACATGAAGCGCTTCTCACTCCTACTAATCTCCAATAAG